TAGTACCTGCCTACGGAACCAGATCATCCCCAATGGACTACAGTCCACAACCAGATCATCCCCAATGGACTACAGTCCACATTCAGGCCTTCCCAATTTGGCCCCAACCATGACAATGTCTACATTCATAGCATTGAGATCCTTCAGAAGCATCTCTCCCTGCGACTCCTGAAACATTTTCTGGTGAAGGGTCTAGGCCCGAAACGTCAGCATTCCTGCTACTATGATGCTGCTTGGCCTGCTGTGTTCATCCAGCTCTGCACCTTCTTGTCTTTGATAGGGACATGAATAGTTTGGAGGGATATGGGCCAGGAGCAGGCAGGTGGGATTAGTTTAGTTTGGGATTATGGTCAGCATGGACTGGTTGGACCGAAGTGCCTGTTTCCCTCCCTCTTCCCAACAGCATAATGTCTCAGTGGTTAGCACTGCTGTCCCATGGAACCAGGGACCCGGGTTCGATCCCACTCTCGGGCAACTGTCTGTCCATGTGGAGTTTGCACGCTCTCCCCGTGTCTGCGTGGGTTTCCTCCGGGTGCTCCGGTTTCCTCCTACAGTCCAAAGATGTGCAGGTTAGGGTGGGATTGGCCGTGGGAAATTGTCCCATAGTGCCCAGGGATGTGCAGGTTAGGGTGGGATTGGCCGTGGGAAATTGTCCCATAGTGCCCAGGAATGTGCAGGTTAGGGTGGATTGGCCGTGGGAAATTGTCCCGTAGTGCCCTGGGATGTGCAGATTAGGGTGGATTGGCCGTGGGAAATTGTCCCATAGTGTCCAGGGATGTGCAGGTTAGGGTGGATTGGCTGTGGGAAATTGTCCCATAGTGCCCAGGGATGTGCAGGTTAGGGTGGGATTGGCCATGGAAAATTGTCCCGTAGTGTCCAGGGATGTGCAGGTTAGGGTGGATTGGCCATGGGAAATTGTCCCATAGTGCCCAGGGATGTGCAGGTTAGGGTGGGTTGGCCGTGGGAAATTGTCCCATAGTGCCCAGGGATGTGCAGGTTAGGGTGGGATTGGCCATGGGAAATTGTCCCGTAGTGCCCAGGGATGTGCAGGTTAGGGTGGATTGGCTGTGGGAAATTGTCCCGTAGTGCCCAGGGATGTGCAGGTTAGGGTGGATTGGCCGTGGGAAATTGTCCCATGGTGCCCAGGGATATACGGGTTAGAGTGGATTGGCTGTGGGGAATTGTCCCATAGTGCCCAGGGATGTGCAGTTTAGGGTAGATTGGCCCATGGGGAATGTAGGGTTACAGGGATAGGAAACGGTGGGTGGGTCTGGATCAGATTCTATTCAGACGGTCGGTATGGACTCGATGGGCTGAATGGCCAGCTTCCACACTGTAAGGATTCTATGAGATGATAAATGGTTGTCAGCGACTCAAGTCATGTCAAACTGAACCAAAAGCTGCATAAGAAATTTAAAAAAAAATCTCCTTTGTAGTTTGGAACAGGGTTGGTTTAACATAATCAGCAGCTACATGTTTGGAAATTCTCTCCAGAACAGCTGGGAGGTAATTCAAGACAATGTTTAATGAAACTCTAGATGCTATAACACCTCACTCAGCACCGTACTCTTTCTCTCTCTGAGCCTCCCTCTGTCTCTGAACCTGTCTCTCTCTCTCTGTCCCTCTGCTTCCTCCCTCTCTGTCCACCTCTCTCTCCCACCCCTCCTTCTAACTCTGAACCTCTCTCTGTCCCCCTCGCTCTCCCTGCCTCGCACTCTATTTCTGTCCCCCTTTCTCTCGCCTTATCCCCACTTTTAGCCTGCTCACCATCTCTCTCCTTTCTCCCCACCATCTCTGTCTCATACACTCACACACTCTCTCTCTCTCTTTCTCTCACTCTCTCTCATGTGCAGGGTCGTTTGATCTTAAGAGTAGGATAACTATGTTCTCTCTCTCTCTCTCACACACACACACACACACATGGTGTCCTCACCACCCCCACCTCTCTCTCTCTCTCTCTCAAACACATTCTCACAAATGTGATTCCCACATGGATTTTGTCATTTACGGTCTCACAGTAAAATTTTATGGCTGGTGTAATTACCTTATTCTCCCCTCTCTGAAAGCCGAACCTGTAAATTTTTTTTTTCCTTTCTTTTCACTTTGCTTCTTATTTGAAAGTCAAATCCTCTCCCCTTCACCCCATCCCCCCACCACTCTCTGTGATTTTTTCTGTGTATTACTCTGATGCTTCCTCTGTGTGTGTGCACATGTCCCTCTCTTTGTTACTCTGTGTCTGTTTAAACCTCTCTCCATCTCTCTCTCTCGCTCTCTGTCTCGCTGGTTCTGTCTGTGCTTCCCTCTCTCTCTCCCTCCTTCCCTCTGTCTCTCTCTCTCCCCCTCTCCTTCACTTTGTCTCTCTCTCTCCCCCTCTCTCTTCCCCCTCTCTCTCTCCACCCTCCTTCCTTGTTTTAATCTTTCTGTCTCCCCCTCTCCTTCCTTTGCTTTCTCTCTCTCTCTCCCCCTCTCCTTCTTTTGCTTTCTCTCTCTCTGTCCCCCTCTTCTTTCCACTCTGTCTCACCCTCTCCTTCACCCCCTTCTCTCTCTCCCCCCTTCCCTCTGTCTCTGTCTCTCTCTCTCTCCCCTTTGCTCTGTCTCTCTCTCTCTCAGCCCCCCTTCCCTCTCTCTCTTTCCCCTTCTCTCTTCCCCCTCTCCTTCCCTTTGTCTCTCTCTCTTCCCTTCCCTGTCTCTTTCTCTCTCTCTCTCCCTCCCCCTCCCTCTCTCTCTCTGTCTCTCCTTCCCTCTGTCTCTCTCTTTCCTCCTCCCCTTCCCTTCTCTCTCTCCTTCTCCCTGTCTCTCTTTCTCTTTCCCTCTGTCTCTCTCTCTCCTTTCCTCTGTCTGTCTCTCTCTCTCTCTCCCTTCTGTCTCCCCTCTCCCTTTTTGTCTCTGTCTGTCTTTCTGCCTGTCTTTCCATCCATCTCTGATTTTGTCTCTCTCTCTCTCTCTTTCTCTCCCTCTCCGTCTCTCCTTTCCTCTCTGTAGTTTTCGCACTCTCTCTTTCTTCCTCAGAGTCGTACAGCACGGAAACAGACCCTTCGGCCCGACCAGTCTGTGCCGACCATAATCCCAAACGAAACTAATCCCACCTGCCTGCTCCTGGCCCACATCCCTCCAAACCTTTCCCACTCATGTACATATCCAAATGTCCTATAAACATTGTAACTGCACCCACATCCACCACTTCCTCTGGAAGCTCATTCCATACATGAACCACCCTCTGCTTGTGTTTGCCTCCTGCTGCCCTCACCAACCCCTCCAACACAAATGGAAAATAAATCTCTCCCATGTCTGAAATAATGTCAGGAGCAGTACATTTGACCTCTTAAGTCTGTACTGCTATACTAACCCATTAAAACCCTCCCCACCCCTTAATTACTTGACTGATAGGGGAGGTAGAGAGTGAAAGGTAGAGGAAGCTATATATATAGAGAGAGAGAGACACACACAGCAAAAAGCAGAGAGAGACAGACATAGAGACAGAGAGAGAGTGTCAGAGAGTGAGAGAGTGAAAGAGTGAGATTGAGACATTGGTGCAGAGAGAGAGATAGAGACAGAGACAGAGAGGGAGAGACAGAGAAAGACAGAAACAAAGAGAGAGAGAGAGATGAAAAACATACAAAAGAACAATGAAAAGAAACAAACGGGAGAAAGTGAAATGGGGAGTGAGAGAAAGATGGAGAGAGAGACAGAGAGAGACAGCGAGAGAGAGAGACGGTGAGAGAGAGAGACAGAGACAGAGATGGTGAGGGAGAGATGGAGAGAGAGAGACAAAGAGAGGTATTGTCAGAGAATGAGATAGAGAGGGACAGAGAGTGTTGGAGAGAGACAGATAGAGAATGAATGAAAGACATAAAGAGAGAGATTGTTGTAGTGAGAGAAAGAGGGAAAAAGACAGTGGCAGAAAGATATATAGACAGAGAAAAAAGGAGGGAGATGGGGGAGAGAGAGAGAATGAGAGACGCAGAGAGAGAGAGAGCCATAGAGAAAAACAAAGAGAGAAAATGAAAAACATAACAAAAAAAAGAGGGAGAAAGAGAAACAGAGTAATGGTGGCAGAGGGATAGACAGAGAATTAGAGAGAGAGAGAGAGAAACAGAGAGAGGGTGAGGGAAACAGAGAGGGAGATGGGGACACAGAGAGAGGAGAGAGACAGAGATGGGGGGAGAGTGAGATAAAGAGACAGAGAGAGATAGAGACAGAGGCAGACAGAGAAGTGGAGGATGACAGAGTGACTGAAAGAGAGAGAGATGTAGAGGCAGTGGGAAAAAAGGGGGAGACAGGGCGAGAGAGAGAGAAAAGACAGACAGGAAGAGAGAGTAATGGAAACAGAGAGGGATAGACTGAGAGATAGAGAGAGCGAGAGAGAGAGAGACAGAGAGGGAGAGGGAAACGGAGACAGAGAGAGAGAGAGATGCAGAGAGAGAGAGACAGAGATGGAGGGGTAGGGAGATTGAGACAGAGGTACAGACAGGGAGAGAGAG